AAGGATAACTATTAAATGGACAAGCTCACTGCTCTGGTGAGGGGAACCATGAAGACATTCTCTGGGAACTCTGGGAGACATTTTCCAGACAAGGTTGAGAAGGGAGAACGGACCAGGTGTAGGTAGGGCTCCGCTCCTTCCTCCCTCTCGACACTGATCCACATGCATAATGTGGTGGGTGTCTTCAATGGTCCGATACCACTGCGGGGTCTGGAAGCTAGACGTTCTAGAAGTTCTGGTCATTAGGAGATAGGTAGTTTCTCCTAATGATAACAAATACCAAAACCAATACAAGGTAACTGACAAAGAGAATAATAAAAATAATAAACATCAAAAACCGGGCTGCATCACATACAGAGTAGCGACTTAATCATAATTATAAAAAATAAAAATTGGTATGTGAGCGCTCCAAATATAAAGTAATGACCACTAAAACACTGTACCCTAATACAGCAGTTTATAAAGGGAAGCAAAACTAGATCTGGTAGCAACACAGGGTTAATATAAATTAGTAAGAACTTCTATTATCTCCTCCTATCCTCCTTCTTCTTCCTTTCAATTCTTTTCTGTCCTATATTTCATTTTTCTCATGTTAGAAGATCTCTCTAAATCCTTAGAGGGCGAGTTACTCTTTTATCCTTATTAGACATGTGCACCAGTGAAATTTTTGTTTTGTACAAATGATTTCATACTAAATAAAAATAAAATTCAAACTAAATTCATTAAAAAATAAATCCTCCCGCATGTCCCTACTTGCGGCATGTGAATTTTCAGAAAAAGAAAGCAACCAACCAGAGGGTTATGAGTCAAATTAATCAGCATGGGAAAATTCCAAAGAACTTTCCACGCTGTGTAAAATGACACAGAGCACTCTGATTGGTTGGATTTCAATCAGAGTATTGTGACAGGTAAATGTAGAAACTTAATACAAAATAAGATGTATATATACCAGTTGTGAACCCTTCATGTAGAAATGAAAAATAAGAAAAGTTTTAATAATACCAGCAGATGGAGTAATCTTGATGTCACGTATGAGGTGTAAGAAACCTATAAACAGAAATACAAAGCCATAGTGTGACCTATAAAACAAAAGTGGTACTATAAGAATGGTGTTTAAGGTAAAAGCAGACCCAGACACCATCTATGAAGTAACCCTTTTAAAACACAAATAAAAAAACAGGTATATAAAAGAATATAGATATTACAGCATACGCGTTTCGGCTATCTCCTAAAACGTTCTTCCAGTGCTGATTTCCATAGTGAGTGGTGTCCTTATATATCTTCCATTACAGCTGCAAACAATTCACAATCAATTCATATGGACAGCGTGCCGTTTCTGTCCACTCCCGATGACATCATATCCGCAAACCACGGTGGAACGCATTTCTGGGTTTCGGCGCCACACGGCACCCAAGTGTTACGTCACTTCCAGAAACAGTTTGTTCCAAGTAGCGTCCATCTTCCAGTTACAGAGAGTCCATGCAGTCCACACACAAGAAAGAAGACATCTAATGGTAAGTATGACATTTTATTTTACAGTGGGTTAGTTTATTGGCACCTCCTCACTATTATTAGAGTGAGGGGGGTAGGTAGAGTATTTTCATTGGGGGGGAAATTATTATTTGTGGTCACCACCCACTGCTCAAGGGTGGGGACCTGGGGGGAACATTAGGTCCCCCATTATTTATTAATATAGGGTCCACACCTGCCGCTTATGGGTTGGGACCAGGGAGGACATTAGGTCCCCCACTTTAATTAATTAGAGTCCCCACCCGCCGCTCATGGGTGGGGACCTGGGGGGGACATTAGGTCCCCCTGTAGCAAATCCAGTCACCTATTTGGAACTTTCTTTGGAATTATGGACTTATTTGGTTTGGCAATTGGGGTCCACCGAACAGGTTATAAACGTGGGGTTCGTATACCAAACCAACTCCTGAACAGTTAGACCACCCATGGGAGTCATGTGCTGCCAATTGACCCTGTTAACCTCCTTCACACTTAGAAACCACAAGGGGGTACTTGAAAGGGTACCTTACTGTTAAAGTGATGTTTTGGGGTGTTTATTAATGTACATGTCCTGGACCTGAGAGGTAATGTAATTATGTTGTGTCTTTGTCACAGTCCCCTCTCAGGTCCAGTGGGGAATGCCCCTGGAATGTGTTACAGTAAACCCCTTGCATGGGGACACACATAAAAGGCTGTGTGTGGCACCCATTAAACAGTTGACTCCTATAACTGTGTATCGTCCGGTTACTGGGGGAATTGTGATTTATCGGCTGAACAACGCTTTGCTTCATGTTTTATATTCTACCAGTGGAGATATTGGGATTTATTATTACAGCTCAGCTACACCCCCCATTATTTATTTATTTAGGATCCCCACTCGCCGCTCATGGGTGGGGTCCAGGGGGGGCATTAGGTCCCCCCATTTAATTAAATAGGGTCCCCACCCACCGTTAATGGGAGGGGACCTGGGGGAGACATTAGGTCCCCCCCTTTATTTAATTAGGGTCCCCACCTGCCGATCATGATTTGGGACCTGGGGGGACCCATTAAGTCCCCAACCTTAATTTAAGTTCCCCACCCACCAGTCATTGTCAGGGAGCTGTTGGCCAGCATGCATGATTGGCAGACAGCCTGGCATGCATTAATGCCAGGCTAGCCTTCCAATTCTTTGGCAGACACCACGCCTTTTGTAGGCATGTTAATCCCTTTCGGGAGTAATGGTTACATGATCCGCGTCAGTGGCCCACCCTTTTACACCGCCCATTGACTTCCGCTTCACTGGACAATGCTGTCAGGGGGTATGGATTTACTTGAAAGATGAAAGCATGAATTAGAGAGAGATTAGCATATTTAAAGAGAATCTGAGTTTCCCTCCAGCAACATCTCCACCAGATACATAACGCTTGAGAGGTATGACTGGTTTAGTGTTTTTGGTCGATAAGATTCTGTACTTAGGCCCTTCATAATTGTCAGCACCAGGCCCACTGGGCTCTTAATCTGGCCCTGTCAGTACGTTTTCATTATATGTCTGTTTGCCCACTATTGAACAGTTCTGCGGAATATGTTGTTGCTTTATAAATATCAAATAATAAAGATTGCATACTATTTTGTGATTGGATAGACTCCTGTGATGAAAGTGTTTTATAGTTATGTCCTTCAATTTCTCAAGTGTGGGCAGCTCATAAATGTACAAACCGTCCTGTACTGAAGCATTTCTTTTTTTCTTTTTTTTTTGCAGTTTATCTTATAAAGTATTGGATGTGACTGTCCATGACTGTGATGACACAACGCGTGGTGCAGGAAGGTCTCTTTAGCAAGGATTTTTAAACAAATATTAAATGCATATTATCCTTTATTATGATAACCGTGTTAAGGAAAAAAAATGCATTGAGCATTTACAATATATATCTTCAAAATGATGACATAATAACAAGCGAAAAGGTTTGTTTAAAGTGATGCTGCAACTTAAGAGAACAAAGACGTTAAAGGGACGTTCTAGACCCATAAAGCTCTTCATCTTGCTTTATGTGTGAAGAGAGTGTGCTTTTTTTTTGTCATTTTACAAAAAGTGCAGATTTCAGAATAAATTTAAACATTTATAAATTAACCTGGTTAAACCCCTGTCTGTTAATCAGACAACCGGTCCTGTTATTGCCTGGTTTGCTAGTTAGTTCAGTGAAGCTAAACTCAAGAGGCAGGCCTTGCTCAAAGCCCCTGCCTTGCAAAGACTTCTCATTGAGCTGCTTTGGGAAGTCTGTGATTGGACAGCCACAGAAAGTCTGGGCGGGATTAGGAGGGGATGTCATAGATAAAAGGTACATAAAGTGTTATAGCCTTAGCTTTAGTTAAGTTCTTCCACGTCTGCAGGGGTTAAAAAGCTAAAGAGTTTTGTCAGCAGTTTCTTTAGATGGTTTTTCTGTTTCTCCTGAAATGTTATGTTTGGTTTAACCTTGCATAGCTTAGATAACACTTTCAAGTAAGCCATTGTTTCTTTGGTCTTATTTTTTTTTATGCACACATGCGCAGTAGACTAATTGCCATTTTATATATACGATCCCGTTAAAGATTGAGAAGATGATTTTGGACTGCAACAACGTGTTTGTGGTTTCATTATTGGTTCTCCCGAGCGCTCGTATATCTAATTAGGAGACCCTGGTTATCTCTCTTGGATGATTTATCGGTAGTGATGTCCCGAACGGTTCGCCTAATGGTTCGCGAACGGTTTGTAGCGAACGGTTCACCGCGGACTCATCATTGAGTAAACTTTGACCCTGTACCTCACAGTCAGGAGACACATTCCAGCCAATCAGCAGCAGACCCTCCCTCCCAGACCCTCCCACCTCCTGGACAGCATCCATTTTACATTCATTGTGAAGCTGCATTCTTAGTGAGCTGTCCAGGAGGTGGGAGGGTCTGGGAGGGAGGGTCTGCTGCTGGAATGTGTCTGCTGACAATTGGCTGGAATGTGTCTGCTGACAATTGGCTGGAATGTGTCTGCTGACAGTGAGGTACAGGCTCAAAGTTTACTCAATGATGAGTCTGTGGCGAACCGTTCGTAGCGAACCGTTCGGGACATCACTATTTATCAGTTATAAATTTCTATATCAATGGGGGGCTTGCAAAGTCTGCAGACAAGAGATCTGCAGCTTCTGCAAACTGTTTTTATATATGCACCCAATTAAAAAAAATGCATAATTAAATGCAGTAATATAATTAATTGGGGATGTCTACTAAACAGTGATTTTATTTAAAAAAAAAAATTTAATAATCCATATTGTTAGCTGTGTGTGTTTGTCTAACCAGGTGTTATTGAAGTTAGATGTCTATGTCACATGACATCCTTATTTGTCACATTGACTCTGATCTTCTCCTCTCACTAATTGAAGTTGATATTAATTGGCGGTCCACCACCATTTTTTTTAGCTATTTTGCTTGACAAGGCTAGTTTTTTGTGTTTTTTTTATCCCTGCCTTTCCGCCGTTGTATCTGTTTCAAACAATAGATAGTCTGTTTATGATGATTTTCACAGCACACGCTGCCCTTCATCTGATTTTATTTCTTTTAATTACCGATCCTTGCAAGCAGAATGTTCTTAATTGGCATGAGTTAGAACCACAATCTCAGGAGCTGAGAGGGGGGACATGAGCTGAGGGGGGCAGGAGCTGAGAGGGGACAGGAGATGAGGGAGGGGATAGGAGCTGAGGGGGCAGGAGCTGAAAGGGGGACAGGAGCTGAGGGGGCAGGAGCTGAGGGGGGGTGACAGTAGGAAAGGGGACAGGAGACAGAGAGAGGACAGGAGCTGAGGAGGGACAGGAGCTGAGAGGGGGACAGGAGATGAGGGAGTAGACAGGAGCTGAGGGGGGGGCAGGAGCTGAGAGGGGGACAGGAGCTGAGAGGGGGGGGCAGGAGCTGAGGGGGGGCAGGAGCTGAGAGGGGGACAGGAGCTGAGGGAGGGCAGGAGCTGAGAGGGGACAGGAGATGAGGGAGGGATAGGAGCTGAGGGGTGAGCTGGGGACAGGAGCTGAGGGGGGGCAGGAGCTAAGGGGTGACAGTAGCTGAAAGGGGACAGGAGATGAGAGAGAGGACAGAGCTGAGGAGGGACAGGAGATGAGAGGGGACAGGAGAGAGAGGGAGGACAGGAGGGGGGGGCAGGAGCTGAGAGGGGACAGGAGCTGAGAGGGGGGAGAGGAGCTGAGGGGGGACAGTAGCTGAGAGGTGTGGACAGGAGCTGAGAGTTGGAGACAAGAGCTGAGAGGGGCAGGAAGGAGCTGAGAGTGGGGAAACAGGAGCTCAGAGGGGGGACAGGAGCTGACGGGGGGACGGGAGGTGAGAGGAGGGACAGGAGCTGAGAGGGGGCAGGAGCTGAGAGGGGGACAGGAGCTGAGAGGGGTGGACAGGAGCTGAGAGGGGTTGGGAGGGAGCCGGTGGCAGGATGAGGAAGGGATAGGGGCTGAGTAAGGGGATAGGGGCTAAGAGTGGGGGCAGAATCTGAGGGGGGGCAGGATCTGAGAGGGGGGACAGGAGCTGAGAGGGGGGAGTGGAGCTGAGAGGGGGCAGGAGCTGAGAGGGGGGACAGGAGTTGAGGAAGGAGACAGGGCTGAGAAGGGGGATAAAAATACTATGTCCTCTTGTTATTGTAGTTTTTCTTGCTTTAAATATAGTCTCCTCCTTTACTGTGTTGACTCCCTTTATGTATTTAAATGTTTCTATCATATCCCCCCTGTCTCATCTTTCCTCCAAGCTATACATGTTAAGATCCTTTAACCTTTCCTGGTAAGTTTTATCCTGCAATCCATGAACCAGTCTAGTAGCCCTTCTCTGAACTCTCTCTAAGGTATCAATATCCTTCTGAAGATATGGTCTCCAGTACTGTGTACAATACTCCAAGTGAGGTCTCACCAGTGTTCTGTACAATGGCATGAGCACTTCCCTTTCTACTGCTAATACCGCTCCCTATACAACCAAGCATTCTGCTAGCATTTCCTGCTGCTCTATTACATTGTCTGCCTACCTTTAAGTCATCAGAAATAATCACCCCTAAATCCCTTTCCTCAGATTTTGAGGTTAGGACTCTATCAAATATTCTGTACTCTGCCCTTGGGTTTTTATATCCAAAATGCATTATCTTGCACTTATCCACATTAAATGTCAGTTGCCACAACTCTGACCATTTTCTAATTTACCGAAATCATTTGCCATTTGGCGTATCCCTCCTGGAACATCAACCCTGTTGCAAATTTTAGTATAATCAGTAAAAAGACATACCTTACCATCAAGACCTCCTGCAATATCACTAATAAAAATATTAAAGAGAATGAGTCCAAGTACAGATCCCTAAGGTACCCCACTGGTGACAAGGCCTTGCTTCGAATATATCCCCCGTTGACTAAAACCCTCTGTTGCCTGTCATTCAGCCACTGCCTTACCCATTCAACAATATTGGAATCCAAACTTAAAGATTGCAGTTTATTGATAAGCCTTCTATGTGCAACAGTGTCAAACGCCTTACTGAAATCTAGGTAAGCAATGTCTACTGCACCACCCTGATCTATTATTTTAGTTATCCATTCAAAAAAATCTACAAGATTAGTTTGGCATGATCTCCCTGAAGTAAACCCATGTTGTCTCTAATCTTGAAATCGATGTGTTTTTAGATGTTCAACAATCCTATCCTTTAACATGGTTTCCATTACTTTCCCCACTACTGAAGTAAAGCTTACTGTCCTATAGTTGCTGACTCCTCCCTACTACCTTTCTTGTGAATGGGCACAACATTCGCTAATTTCTAATCTTCTGGGACTACTCCTGTTAATAATGATTGGCTAAATAAAGCTGTAAATGTTTTTTCTAGTACACCACTAAATTCTTTTAATAACTTTGGGTGTATCCGACCAGTCAAAAGATCTCTCTGAGTGGGTCTGTGTGTATGGAAGGGACCAGTGCTCACGGGGCCCTTAGGAGGCCTAGGCTCCTTATAAGTGAAAGCTCTGGTTCGCTGTCGCAGCTGTGGCCTTGCCCCCTGGAGTGACGGGCCTGGTCGCAGCTGCAACTCTGGTAGCTACGCCTCTGCAGGAGGGGTTACTGAAACACATGAAGAGCTGGGGTTACTGAGATACAAAAAGGCATGGGGGTTGCTGAGATACATGGAGGGATGGGGGTACTGAGACACATGGAGGGGCTGGGGACTTAATGAAACACAGAGAGATGGGGGATACTGAGACACATGGAGTGCTGGTTGGGTTACGGAAACACATGGATGGTCTGGGGGGTTAATTCGACACATGGAAGGCTGGGGGTTTACTGACACACATGAGGAGCTGGGGAATTACTGAGATACATGGACGGACTGTGGGGATTACTGAGACACATGAATGAGACACATGAAAGGGGCTGGGGTTAATGAGAACCAAGGAGGGACTATGTGGGGTTAATGAGACCCATGAAGAGGGGGGGGGAATTAATGAGACCAATGGAGGGGCTGGGAGGGTTAATGATACATATGGAAAGGTACATTGAAATCTAGGGGGGAGGAAATAGAAGGGCTGTGAGGGACAAAGATACACAGAGGGGCTGGGACAACAAAGATGGGCACAGAGGGTTTGGGGGGACAAAGGCTGGGGGGCCAACAAAGAGACCCACAAAGGAGTTGGGTGACAAAGCAACACAGAGTTGCTGAGGAGGACAAAGAGCCACACACACACAGTGGGTCTGATGGGACAAAAAGATACACACACACACAGAGGTGCTAGGGGGACAAATAGACACATAGAGGGGCTGGGAAGGACAAAAAGACACAGAGGGTCTGGGAGGGACAAAGAGGCACACACACACAGAGGGGCTGAGTGGACAAAGAGATATACACACGCAGAGGTGCTAGAGGGACAAAGAGAAACAGAGAGGGTCTGGGAGGGACAAAGAGGCACACACACACACAGAGGGGCTGGGTGGACAAAGAGATATACACACGCAGAGGTGCTAGAGGGACAAAGAGACACAGAGAGGGTCTAGGGAGGACAAAGAGACAAGGAGTGTCTGGGAGGGACAAAGAGACACACAGAGGGACTGGGGGACAAAGATACACATAGAGGGGCTGAGGATGACAACAAGATACACAAGTGATGGGAAGAGAGAGAGACACACAAGGGACCTGGGGGTGGGGGGGAAGAGACCCACTAAGGTTCTAGGGGGGAAGAGACACACTAAGAGGCTGGGAGAAGAAAGATATACACAAAGTTGTCCGTTTTTTGTAGGGGTTTGGGGCCGCAAGTAGCTGGTCTTGCCTAGGGTGCAAAATAATCTTACACAGGCCCTGCAGGAATCTATTTAATCAATAGTGAATTACCAACTGATTTCTATGTAATATATATAAACTAAAATTACAGAGGAAAAATTCTTAATTCCCAGTAACTAGAAATACATTTCCAAAGTTGGTTGTTAACTCACCATGACTCACTATAGTGAATAAACCCACTGGCATGATACTTGTGCAGCCTGGATTACTTCAGATGTATAACCATTAAAGGCATTATTTGTATGTCTGTGTGTGTGACTTTTTTCAGAACTGAAACCATGGCTATACCCTGATGCAATGACTGATTGTATGTAATAAACAACAGCTGCACTCACCTTGTTTAAATGTCCCACAAATCCTCTCAATCAATATTCTATATTATTGGACAGAGGGTGTACCAATACCACCTAGAGATGTTGCGTGCATGGTAGAAGCAATTATGTGTTTAAATAATGGCAGCAGACCTTAAAGGGACACTACAGGCACCCAGATCACCACTTCAGCTCATTGGCACTGTCCCAGGCTCCCTAACCCTACAACTGTAATTATTACATTTTTTGACACCTACTAGAGGGACTTCTGGGTGGTTAGGCGACTTTTGATCACCAAACTGACGCTAGGCATGAGGACATCCAGCGTCACCTGAAACCTCA